AAGAACATCTGAGGAAGTTCATAAAAAGGAAACCAGCATTCCAAAATGTTCTGAAAGACAGTCTAAAAAGAAGTAACAAGGACTACAACAGGAAAGTAACATGACAAGGATAAGTCAATACACATCAGTTATAACAATCAATGTTAGTGGTCAAACAAAAGTAACAGTCTGGGGTCACAGAGCTAGCTCAGCAGTGTAAGTGCATGCCTAGGCAAGTGCAAGGACCCAGGCTCAATCCCTGGTATCACATGCCTTGCCAGCCCTGCCCCATGCACACCAAGCCAGCCTCCCAGACCAGGAATGGTGGTGCATGTCTGTAATCCTAGCACTAGGGAGGCTGAAACAGGAGGATCACTACAAGTACGAGCAATGTGGTGAGACCCTTACCAAATACATGAATTTTTTTTAAAGTAACTGACAGAATGAATTAAAGAGTAACATCCAACATTATGCTGTATACATTTATTTCAAAAAGAATTAAGCTTGCCCAATATAATTGTATTAGTGCTTATGTGATTTTTTCATGTCTGTTAATATTTGGTTTTGTAGAATTTGGTGCACTGGTATTTGATAATATTTTCTGTCCTTTGACTTTCAGTCTATGAATTTCTTTTTGAAATAAATGTGTGCAGCATGGTGTTGGATGTTACTCTTTAATTCGTACTTGTAGTTACAGGCCCAGGCAAACAAACTGTTGGATAGAGGGGTTGCAATTGACATAAACCTCCTAAGTATACAAATAAATGCATTGCTGCCATTGGGAAGTTTTTTTTCTCCCACCAAGAGGAGGCTCCATCTGACCTCAGCTTTCTGCATCCTTGACTCTTGTCTCCATTTCTTCATCATCCACCATCCTCTCCCTGGAAAATTCAAGAGCTATACTGGATGAGGCATAAAACATCTATCATCACTGCTCTACAGTATGGCCCTCAAAGAGAGCACTTCCATTTTTCCATCTCCTCCCCTACCTCTTCAGCATCCTTAAGACAGGTCCTAATCACCCTTCCTTTTTTATCCACCCTCTTTCATTCCAGTCCATTTTTCCCTATATGGCTGGTAAGTGAGCACCAGAAACCTAAGGAATTTTTTTTTTGGCAGTACTAGAGGTTGAATGCAAGACTTCATGCATGCTAAGAAAGTGCTGTACCACTGAGCCACACCCTCAACCCCAGACACACTGTTTACTGCTGTGGACCACATGACCTGATTACACACATACACACACACAAAATAGACAGCCAGCCTTGCAGGGTAATTTCAATATAGTTCTCTGTTAATTCACCACCACACACGAGGGAAACAGTGCTTCTCTGACAAAGACTGGAGTCCATCACATTTCAAGTGTGGAAGTAAATCCTGATGTGAGCAGGGGACTCTGGCAGTCAGAGCAGCTGCAATAGTGCTCAGAGGAGCACTCCCTCTTTGTGGCAGGCTTTTGGGCAATGATCATTCCCTCCAGATCCTTCATTTTGCTTTCTACTGTCTGAAGTTTTTTCAGAATTTTCTCTTGCAGACCCAAGGACAGGAAGATGTTACCACTCTCTTGACTCTTGTGTCCAACTTCTTCTGGGTTTGCTAGCAAAGCCTGAAAAAAATCTGAGCCCTTCTTGTAAAGTTGGTAGAGTGTGACTACAAACAGCAATATTTTCTAAAACAAAACACAAAAGTTGAGTGTTATTTGTCATTCACATGAAATGCCAGTTTATCATAGATATTAAAAAAAAGCTCTATTAGTAACAAAATTTCATTTCTATGCCAAGCCCTCCATTCCACAAAACATTTTCATACCTATTTAATCTTTTGAGATTTTTGATTTTTGTTTTGTTTGAACTACACCAGGTCTCACTGTGTAGCTCAGGCTGGACTTAAATTCTTGGCAATCCACCTGCCTCAGCCTCCTTAGTGCTCAGATTATAGACAGTATCACCATGATAAACTTTTATTTTTCATGCCCAACTCTTTTATTTTTATTTATTTTTTAATAATTTTATTGAGAAACAAATAGCAATGAGACAGGTTCAAAACCAATTAGTAGGATAGTTTCAATAAAACATTGCATACTGTTGTCTTCTTAGTGGTTATTCATAGTACAAGATGCAGACATAATATCCTGTCAACAAACACTATTAGTACAAATCTTCCTATTCATTGAATTAAGAGAAAGAAGCTGTATATCTATCCTATTTTGAATATACAGATACAAAGTGGTACTGCATTTGTATCCCCTTTTTCTGTTTTGTTTTGTCAGAGAAGTGCATTTTATTGCCATTTAAATATTGTAGGTGCATGAACTCAGCAAAATATTCCAATATAGTCCAGTAGTCCATATTACTAGTGGGTTATCCATAGGACTGGTAATGTCAGAAGTTGTTGAGCCTTTTATAGCTTAGCATAGTAATATGGTTTTACTTTTTATACTTTGTTTTTATACTTTTCTGCTGAATAGTTAAGACCAAGACAAAGCAAGACCTATATAACAAGAAATATAACTTTTGTATCTGACAAGGTCAGTCAAATCCTCTCAGGATTTATCCTGAAACCGTGTACCGCAGTTTGTAAATCCTTTATCAGTGTCAGCCATGTGGATGAGTCACGGCCATTGCTTGACCAATTTGCTCTCTGTGAAAGCCTGAGAGAATGTTTTCTCTCCATGTGACTCCTTAGGCACACTCTACATCATCGATCACTTTCCTCTGTGGCCCCATAATCTCCTTGATCAGAAAATCTGGGTAACAACTGAGTTACATGATGTTATAATACAGGTTCTCCTATGTCCTGAGTCCTCACTGACCTTGAAAGGCTAGGTTCATGCCCAACTCTTTAATCTCTTAATTATTAACACAAACCAGAGCTGTAAGCAGTTTAGATATTTTAGTTACATTTCATTACTAGATATTATAATAAACATCATTTGGTAAGAGTCTGCCACATGCTGGGCTTTGTGCTGCAGGTTACCCTGCCCATCCACACATGACCTATTATTTCTAAAGAAAAATATAGAACAAGATAACAATTTTGATATCTTCTAGTTTGGATCCCATGATTACCTAGGGTCATATTCTGGAAATGATAAGAGGCTGGTAGGAGTAGAGTCTAAGAATTCATTTGAGTATAGTGATCTAAAAAATTAAATCTGGTCATGTAAGTTTTAATTTACTAGAGAAGAAACTTGCTGAGATATGAATAAAACTAACCATCTTTTTCCTTATTGTAATAACTAGCATTGCTTACTGAGTATACATATAATAAGCCTTATACATGTGATATCCCCTTTAATCCTCACAACTCATTAGAAGAGCTCTGCCAGCAATGCCATATTACAGGTAAAGGAAACTGCTTAGAGGGCAAGTGATTGCTCTCGGGGCATAGAGCAAGGTGCAACATATTTAGGTCTAAGCAATCTGACTACAGCCTATGCTCTTACTTTTACATTCTGACACTACCACGTTTTGGGTGAGGTATATGAAGACCTGAAAGCTCATCTTTCTGATTGAATAAACTCAGAAAATGTTTACTTTCTTATTAGTTAATTGAAATGTATGTATATATACACACACTCCTGTTGAGTTGTCAGTTGTTTATACTAAGTGAAATTTTGGAAAAATTTGAGTTTTACAGCCAGGTGTGGTGGTGTCTGCCTATAATCCCAGCATTTATGAAAGCTGAGGTAGCAGGATCTCAAATTTGAAGCCAGCTGGTGCTAATAGTGAGACTGCCTCAAAAGAGGGGGCTCAAATCCTAGCTTTGTCAACTTTGGCCAACTATATAAATTTACCCCATATACAAAATGGATGATGATCCATCCTTGTCTGTTATGCTGGGTTTGGAGAGTTTAAAATAGAAAATGCATGTGAATATGATTCCTAAATAATGACATATAACAAAAAGCAAATGCTACGAAATAATCTAGTGGGCCAGGAAGATAGCTCAGTAAAGTAAGCACTTGTTTGGCAAGCGCAAGGTCCTGAGTTCAATCCCCAATACTGAAAAAAAAAAAAAAAAAAAAAAAAAAAAGAAAGAAAGAAAGAAAAAGAAAATCTAGTAATAACTTCTTTCATTATCAAGTTCATTTCAGTATAACTTTATCAAGTTAATCACCCAAGAAAGCTCTTTTAATCCTGTTTCCTTAAATTTTCAATGGACCTCAATATAACTAAGTTTCCTTTTTTGTCAAGTGAAAATAATTTCTCTCCACATCATGCATTATTGGGACAAATAATAATGAACATATTTGGGGCCAACACTTAAGAGCATATTATAAATAAGCTATTATTATTGATGATTAAACAGAAGTTATATGAAACCCTAAATGTTTCTTCTTATAATCCCAGCTAGTTAAATTCCTACCTCCAAAAGAAGATTCACTGCATATTGATGCAAATCTTATTAAAACAATGAAAATATTGTCATGACTTAATGAATACAAATAAAGCACAATGGCAAAGTAAGAGCAGAAAGGCCATACCCAAGATCCATATTGCCTATTCCATGCCATGGTAGCCACTCAAAGGTGAATATGTGATCAGATAAATTTGGGCCTAAGAATGCCTTTGCAGATAATGAGGTTCTAAACTATGTTTTATGACAGCAGACCAGCCAGAGCTCATTGTCATAAAAGAGCATCTTTGTGCCCAAAACCTAACTGGTAGAGATTTTCAAGGATAGTTTAGTTTCAACCAACTTAGGAGACAAGGGTTCACCCTTGCCCATCAACATGGTTTTTAAAACTGGGCAGCCACAATATCATAGAGAACCAATGAAAATTAAATTATAATTAGAATAGAGGCATAGGTCTATAATCTCAGCATTCAGGATACTGAGGCTGGAGGATCGCAGCAAGTTTGAGGCAACCCTGTCTCAAAAAATGGGGGAGGGCAGGGATGCAGCTCAGTAGTAGAGCACCCCTGGGTTCAATGTCCAGTAGTACAAAGACTCAATTTATCAGTATCTATAATAAAAGAGTATGGGGCTGGTGAGATGGCTCAGTGGTCTAAAGCACCTACTTAGAACAAGCTTGGCAAAGCACGGGGACCACGGTTCAATCCTCCAGCACCACATGCCAGCCAGCACCGCCCCCTGGTGGGCTGAGCTGGCTACACACACACACACACACACACACACACACACACACATAATAAAATTTAAAAAAAAAAAATAAATAAAAGAGTACAACCTGAAGTGACCGAACGCTTCGTTTCCACAAGGCAAATAATCCTAATGCCAATAAAATAAAAAAGGAAACCCGTAGGATAAGTTGGACAACTGGAGCAAAATGATCTATCATCCCCAAATTGGTTTGCTGAGTCATAGTTGTCTCTCCCAGAAAAGTTGTTTGTATCCAGTTCCATATCATGTTGAGAGAGACAGAATCTAAGAGGTTGTCCCAGTTAGAATATGAAGGTGAAGATGACATTGTAATACAACGGCAGCTCCAGGAACTACATGTGTTGAGGTTTCAGGACTCTAAAGCTGAGTTAGGAAGAGCAGTCTTGGAGCCCCTGTGTTCTGGGGCCATTGTGAGCTGTGCTTTGTGATGTCACTCTTCCAGAGGTGAGCTCACTTCCCACTCATTCTTCTCACTCAAACCAACTACTAGCCTGGCTTTTCATTTGGTTCCTATTAACTTTCTTTGATTTTTGGCTCTCCTGCCTCTAGCACAGCACTGTCAGAACCTTCAGCAAGTACAGAAATATTCCTTATCTCCCAGTCCAATATGGTGCCCATCAGTCATGTGAAATGTGCATAATGTTGCAGAGGAAATAAGTTATATATTTTAATTTTAATAATCACATGTGGCTACCGTCCTAGACAGTATAAATGAAGAAATTTTCCAACAATTCCATGAAATGGAAAATGGATATTTTTACATGATGTGAAAAAGCTGAGATGCACTGAGACTAAGGAGAAATCTGAAGAGATAGAATTTTTTTTTTTTAATGTTCTGGTTTTTTGGAGACAGGATTCACTATGCAGTTCAGGCTGGCCTTGAACTTACTTTGTAGCTCTGAATGGCCTTAAACTCATGACAATCCTCCTGCCTCAGCCTCCTGAGAAGAGAATTTAGAAAGCACTTCCTTAAGTAATAGGCAAATGTGGACAGTACTGAAGCATAAATTGTAATGGAAACCATTTTGTTAAAAAAATTGCAGTCATTCTGTTCTCTGCCACTGAATTCAGCTAAATTATCTGATTTGTCATCAAAATTAAACTTCTGTCAATGTGCTAAAAACTATTTGATACATATAAAACTATGTTCATCACAAAAATATCTATTGTACTCTGGCCTCCAGCAGAAGCTTATTTTTGTAGCTTCTGTTCACTACCCTATAAATAAGACAAGCTCTCTGCAATTACCTCAGATTTTGGAGACTGCTCCTCTGGGGTCTGCTAATATCAATAAAATTTCCTTTCTTCTGAGCTCCTGGCTACTGTTGTTTCAATTTTCCACAACAGTTTGGCTGTATCATTAGTAGCATTCTCTTCCTTTCATGTCACTGTTAATTAGAAATTGGGATTTATAAGAAGATTTTTCACATATTTGAGTCTGATTTTGTTTATGTGCTGATTTGGATTCCACCTCCTTTACAAGATTTTCATTAGGAATAGTGTGCTTTTCTAAAGTACTTTGTAAAAATAGCATGTTGCACTGTGACCTATAGGACACAACATCAATTATTTACTGATAGTACCTAGCTACTCAACAACAAGGTATGAAGATAGAAAATACATGGCCTGTTTCCAAAATGTTATCATTAAAAAATGTTCATATAGAAGTATATAAACTGTGAGATCAAATAACAAAGACAACGAGAGGATAAGAGTTCACATGAGGAGGAAATGCACAGGAAGGAAAAAGAAAAGGGTCATGGGGCCGCCGGATCCTGAATAGACCTGGAGCGCAGGCCTGGCATGTGAGTGAAATGACCCAGGGCCCGTGGACCCTGAATAGATCAACAGTGCAGGCCTGGCTAGTGAGTGAGAGGACCCGGGGCCGCCAGATCCCAAACAGACCCAGAGTCCAGGCCCGGTGTGTGAATGAGACCACTTGGGGCCAACTAGATCCTCATTCGACCCACAGTGCAGGCCCAGTGTGGAACCCTTCAGCAGAATTCCCTGCAAAGAGGCTAGAGGCAAGACCCACCCAGCTGATTCAGGAGCAGAACATCTTGCCAGAGTGACACAAAGGGCTCATCTCCAACGGCTGCAGTAGAAAGAAGTGGAGTACAGCAGCCAAACCAGACCCCAGCAAGATCCAAGCAACACCCACCTGGAGGAATCTGAACTTTGTAGATCCAGACCTGGTACTAAGGTAATAACTCTATCTAAGCTCTACACCAAAGGTCAGAAGACAGTGGTATACAAATGACAAAGAGAAGGAACAAAATGCAGTCTCAGGCCCCGAGTCCACCCAGTACAAATACAGAAGACACTAGCATAGAGGAAACTGGAAATCACATATCTGATATCTCTGAAATAATAGCGTTGGAAGTAAAGAAACAAGTGCAGAAAGTTATAGAAGAAATCAGATCAGAAATAATTTCTGAACTAAAAAATGTAGTAATAACTATAATAAAGGAAGTACTAAGTGCTTCTAAAGAATACACTGATAAAAAAAAATAGAGAATATAAAAATGATGGAACCCCTGAATAAGCAATATAGGAAAGAAATAGAAAGTATGAAACAGATTCAAAGTGATAAATAGGAAATTAAAACCTCAATCACAAGCCAGCAAAACCGTTTGCATGAAAGTGAAAATAGACTTTCTGACCTTAAAGACACCATTGCAGCTATTGAAAAATTAAGAAAAGATCTCTTAAAAACAACTATGATGCAGGAAAAAAATAATTCAATACCTGCAAGATGTTGCAAAGATGAACAATGTGAGACTAATAGGCATCAACAAGAAGGAAGGAGTCAATACAAATGATATAAAAAGAATATAGGCAGAAGTAATAGCAGAAAACTTCCCAAATATGGGGCAACAATCTGACATTCACGTAACCGAAGCATAAAGAACTCCAAATAACATCAACCCAATTAAAAACACACCCAGACATATAATAATCAAGATCCCAGAAATTTAGCACAGGAACAGTATGCTAAAAGCCGCTAAAGAAAAGAAACAGATCACATTTAAAGGAAAACCCATCAAAATAACAGCAGATTTCTCTTCACAAACCATCAAATCAAGAAGAGCACGGAGCAAAGTACTTCAAGTATTGCAAGAATACAAATTCCAACCCAGACTGATATACCCTGCAAAACTCTCTTTCACGTATAATGGAGAAGTGAAACACTTCCATGACAAAGAACAACTAAAGAATTTCATGATGACAAAGCCAAGCCTACACAGACTACTAAATGATGTTCTAGAGAGGGAGCAAAATGATCAC